CAGGTTGACCTGAAACTTGCTATGTAGCCCAGGCTGGCATCTCTTGATCCTCCTCTTGTCTCTTTATCCCTAGGATTGCAGATATGCACCACCACACGGAGCTGTCCATGCCTCAATAGAACTAGGCAGAACACCTGGGAGGGCATATGCTGAGGACAGGAATCAGTGTTAGACTCACAGATCCTTTTGGGTCTTACCATCAACACAGCCTTGGTCCCTGGCCAAAAACCTCTGAAATTTCCATTTGCTCAATTATAGATACGATTAAGTCAATGTATATATTAACTAGGCACCTGTACTCAGAACTCTCTTAGGTGCTCACGACACCCGCCCCCCTCAGTGATCTCTGCTGCTTTCCACCTAAGAGCCTAACAGCTTGAAGCTTGGGCCACAGAGATTTTGCCCTCATGTTCCCAATACACAGCACTCTTGTCTTTGCTGAAGTTGCTCCTGTTTCTCACTGGATTCCCACCTAGTGTGTGGACACTAAGTAATGTCTCTTTAGTCTCCAAAGCCAACAAGTCTCAGGGGGCTCAGGAAAGGAGCAGAGCTCCTCCTGCCCTCGGAAAGTGGCCACTGTAGACTGGACCCATCACCTGCCTTAAGTGATCACACCTGCCCACCAGCAGGAACTTTGACTGGAGACACAAAGTGTTCACATGCTATCTTATAGCTACCTTAGCTGCAAACATCCTCAGAGGCTGATTTTATAAAAATGGGGAAACTGAGGCTGGGAGAGGCGAAGCAAATAGTCCTGGACGTCTCCAGCTATGCGGCTGAATTCTGGGGTCAACTTGTGGCACTGTGTCTGGGTACTGAATTGGGGCGCGGGCGGGGCAGAAAACCCGGAACGACCCGGTGTGTCGCTAGAGCTGCTAGAGAGCCTAGACGTTTCCAACGGTGGTCTGAGTTCAGACAACCTGATCTCGGTTTCTTGTGGGTGCAGCTGTCAAAGCTGGGGACAACGAAGGGTGGGGGTGGAGTCTGCCCTCTGCAGCCCAAACCCCACACCCCGGAGCTGACCGGTCGCACGTTCCCCATTCCGACGTTAGCCAGTGAGTTGGATGCAGGGCCGATCCGCCCCCTTGGGGCCGAATTTCCCATCTCGGTGCTTCGGCCCCCTCCCAGAGGGGCAGGGCCGGACCACGAACGCGCGGGCAGTGGGCCGGGGTGGACCCCACGTGCGGGTGGGCGCAGGCGGTGCGCGGCCCAGCTGGGGTCTGCGCCATCCCGGGCGTCCCCGGCTCTGGGCGCACCGGCAAGGACGGGGATCCCGCGCTCCCGCCCTCCACTGGCTCCCACCCGCACCCGACCCCCTCGCTTCTACCTGCGGCTGGTTCCCGGGCGCCGCGACGCTCCTCTGCAGTACGCTGCCCGCCGGGGGCCCCTGCGACATGCCGCGCGCTCGCCCCGCCCGGCGCCCTGCACGCGGGCTGAGCTACCCGCGCCGAGCCGCCCGCATC